TATATATATATATTCGTATTTCATTGTCTTTTTTTTTTTTGTATTTGATTATTTATATTTATATTTTATTTTCTTTAGTGGTGCAAGGGTGGGGGGATTTCTTAGGTCACCCATCCTAATATTATTCTCGCCCAACGTATTTGTATGCAGAGTTTTGATGAATTCTAGTATACTAGTGTTGGTATGGTTGCACCTATATATATATATATATAGAAAGCTTCTTGTCGGCGTTCCTCATTCAACGATTGGGTAGCTTGAATCGAATTCAACTTATTATCAGAAGCTCGGTTGCTTGATGAGAAGAACATGTAGATGATCCGATTCAATCGTGTTCAACTTGATATCAATCGTTGCATTCAAAAGTAATAATATTACATATCTCATACCCAAACTTTAAAATATTCATCCTAATCAACGAAAATATTGAAATAAAATAAAACTAGCAACCCATACGATAAAATTCAAACCACATCACGTCCTTACTCATCTGCCCCATCACCCCCCCCCCCCATTTGCTTGGAAGCTCATCGCGTCGTCTGCCGTCGAGGTCTAATGAGGTCTGCACACGCGGCCGAGGAGCTCCCGGCGAGCTCCATCAACACACCCATCTTCGGCTAGCTCATTAGGGTTTAGGGTACAAGAATTAGAGAAATTGAAGCTCACAAAAGTGCTTATGGGTGTGAGGAGGACGGAAGGAGAAAGATGGGTTTGAAGTATGTGTGACGTGCAATATTAATAGTTTCGAGTGTTATGTATGTAAGTCGCCTCGTAATCTTAATACATAATATCAATGTTAGATCGAGAAAAAAAAAAAAAAAACATTAGATATTGAAAGATACAAATTATGAACTACATATATTATTTGAAATTAAATTCGCATTCTCAAATACAAAGCTGACATTCATGTTAGCTAGAAGCTAAGTGAAGAGTCTTATGAGATCATGTTACAATAGCCACCATGCCTTAAAAATATATATTTATATGTTATAATATTTAGCCATTAAATAAAAGCAAGATTTATATATTTATACCATCCATTTTTTTATATTTTTACATATCTAGCACCTATACATTGGTTTTTTTACATTTATACCCACCCAAATCTTCCATATTACATAGGAAAATATCATTATTTTAACTTTGAATGGCGACCTTTTCCTTTTCATGCAAATGTAAAATGACACGTATGTAAAAATTGAAGTTTAGATATTAGATATGCAAATTCTTAGGAATTGAGTGATATGTTTGTAAATCTGCTTAAATAAAAATGAATAAAATTGAAAACAAAAAAATGGAGAAAATTTTTCATAGAGTGCGAACGCAGCTCTGCTTGCAGACTCTAGTAATATACCGCCACGTTGATACACCGGGCACACCTCATAAAATATTAAAATAAATTTTTTTTTTCCGAGGGTTATTGAAGTTAAACCATAGAGGTTATTAGTGCGGTTCACCCCCCGGGTTCACCGCGCGATGTTATTGGGGTTATTGTGGAATTATTGCGATGTTATTGACGCTAATACCCCAATAACACCAAAATAATACCCCAATAACCCTGAAATAACATCGAATTTGATAAATTTGAACTGAATTTAGTGTTATTTCGGGACTATTGAGGTATTATTTCAGGACTATTGAGGTATTATTTTAGTGTTATTGGGTTATTACTCCAATAAGACCGCAATAACCCCCCTAATAAACTTTGCGGTTCCACTGCAATAACCCTCACAATAACCTCCCAATAACCTCTGCGGTCCACTTTAATAACCCCCGTAAAAAAAATATTTTAATATTTTATGAGGTGGACCGATGTAGTACGCGTGACAACATATTACTAGAATTCATGCGCAAAAATGCATCCACGCTCCGCATGAAATTTTTTTGTCAAAAAAAAGGAAAATGAATGCTAAAATCAAAGAGACATAAGAATGGAGCCTCCAATGGAGTCAGTCATAAATCATAAACAAATTAATATTTTTACTCTACTAAACATATAAAGCATTGCTCTCATCTTGGGTTGAAGAAATATGAAATTGGACTCCATTATTTAGCTTAATGAATCATATAACTGTAACTTCTAATATTAGTAGATATGACACATGGTATTGTACAAATCTCTTTCACATCACATAAAAAATACATCCTTTTAACTATTAAAAAATGAAATACAATGCAATCTTCATGCATAAATAAGGCGGCATGTACATAAAAATTGAAGTTTAGGAGTTTGATATGTAAATACATAGGAATTGAGTGGGGGTATGTATGCAAATATTCCAAATAAAAAGACAAATTTTGAATAAAAGAGTTAGAATGAGAATTTATATGACACATTGCCTGAAGCAGCTGAGACAGCTATTATGGACACTATCAGTAGATGAAAAAACTCTCAATTCCTTTATGCTATAAACAACCAAATATTTTAATGATAAAACCGCTGTAAATCTTCATAAAAATGATTTTTAAGAATAAAAAGGCTATAAATTTGGACATTATTAGCAGTTTGTCACCTCCCAAAAGGGCCCTTATGGGTAGTGGGCAGCCCAGGACTTAAATACTGTTTTTCGGCCCTACACCTAGCCAATGTGGGATATTTTGTCTGTGACATTCTCCTCCGCCCAATCACGTGACGACCTCGTCACGGATCGGCTCCACCGAGGGTCCCACTGGACCATGGAGAGTCCACACACCTTATTGGCAGTAGTCTGCTTTAATACCATTTGTCACCTCTCAAAAGAGCCCTTATGGGTGATGGGCAACCCAAGACTTAAAATACTGTTTTTTGGCCCTACACCTAGCCGATGTGGGACTATTTGTTCGTGACAAGTTGCTACTTAACAGAGCTATCTAAGCATACATAACACAACATTGTAAAACAAATAGATTTTCATAATTAAAAACAAAAAAGAGTATAATGACACTAATAAGAGTGCAAAGAAACACATATAGTAAAAATATTTCAGTCAAAAATACATAAAAAACTTCAAAAAGTAAAATAGACTTCAGCAAAAGTAATGCATTGATTTTAATGAAATTGTTTGCTTGTGATTAAAGCTACAATTAGGGCTGTGAATTTAGCTCTAAGATCGTCAATCACTTGAAATTTGATTTGAATTTTAACTTGAATTGAGATCGGATCAAAATAAACAAGCTGAGCTAAGAGACGACTTTGGATCAAAAAAATTTTTAGCTAATTTTGAGTCATACATGGATCAGATAGAATTGATTCCAGAACGGCTCGCAATATTTTTTATTTAAAAGAAATTAAATATATAACGTTAAGTGAAATTGAATGTAATGAGTTACGAGCCAATTTCGAGCTAGAACGGGTCCAAATAACTCAATTCGAGCCTTGTAGTTTCAATTTTGAGTCGGACCGAGCAAAAACAGATCCAATAACTCAATTTGACCAAGCTAGTTTCAATTTCGAGTCGGTTCAAGCTCGATTCAATTTCAAGCTAGGTAGGCTCAAAATCGAATATAACGACGCATGACCCGATTTCGAGCTGCAGTAAATCTATTCGAGCCAAACCTAGCTTGGCTCAAATCGGATCGTTACAGCTCTATTAACAGTCATCAGATTGGTGTTGACTTAATAAAAATAGAGAGTTTACAACATAAGCACTTAGATGTCAAAGGAATAATAATTACCGATGACGAATTGGCTAGCATGCAATGACTAACATTTCATAGAGCTTCAAGTTTCACAATTTTAAATCAATCTTAAGGGTAAGCGTTTCAAACTTCCAATTCTCGATATTGCCGTGTTGACTAAAAATCTCAACTAGAGGGGTCAACTTTTAATTTTAAATTTTCAAATCAAATTCTCAAAACAAACAAATCAAAATATTTAAGTTAAAACACTAAATCACTTTAAAACTTGAAGCAAATTCATCCATCATGCGCAATATTTTGTCAAGGGTGACAGACTTTGGATTGATTTCAACTCATAAAGAATGAATGTCATATAAGGTGTATCAATATATTCACACTCAAAGTAATTTCGCGCCAGTAAAAAAGTGGCTCGAGTTCTGCGTCCAAATGATTTGGCTCAAAGGCTCCACAAAAAGTTGTGGTTATAGCCAAAACTCTCTGACCGGGCGATTGTCATCAAATGACAATTATATTATTGGCACAGTCACAGCTGTAGGTTCCTCAACAGTTTTCCACCCTTTGATTTGTGAACCATGAGGGTATATTTAATTGACACAAAGTCTTCTGTCTGTTAAGGTCGGCTTAAATTTATCCCCTTAGATAAATTTTCACCCCAGATTTACAAGGGTATCTTGGACGAAGCAACTCATGGTTGTTGACAATGATCATTCAATCAACTCAAGACGATTACCTCCTCTAACTAAGTAGATTAGGAACCACAGTGACCCGAGATAATGAAACCATAGGATCTTGATTGAATTCGTCATCATTTCCCCCACCATTTAATTTAAGCTCAAGGTGATAAACTTTATAATATAAAACTCTAAATCTGCTGCAGCTATATGTTGAATATTCAACACTTAATAACTAGCCTTAATCAATAGTGTTCTCCTGTAATCGAGAGGGGTAATTAATCATATAGACTTTCACCTATGAGAAACCTCGAACCCCAGATAAAAAAAATCCTCGCAAAATGAGTGCGAAATATCTACATAATGCTTTATCTACAATCCAATAAGTGTTTTAAAAATTCGACCCAACAAAACTCTCAACAGTACAACAACGACGAGAGTCTGGGGCATCGAATTTTCAGAGCCCACAATAAGGTGAGAAAACAGTTTAATTTTGAAGGAAGATTTAAATACATAACACTGAATTCTCATGTATATACATATCTAATATCTAAACTTCAACATTTACATATAAGCCACCTTACCTACACATCAAAAGGTGTATTTCACTTTCTAAAGTTAAAATAGTGGTATTTTTTTATGCAATATGAATGATCAAAGTGGTATAAATGCAAAAAAAGTAAAGTTTTCACATTAGATATATAAATCAATAAGAATTGGGTGGTATGTATGTAAATGCCCATAACTTTAAGGGTGCAAGCATAGCAATGGTGTTGCAGATTAAGTATGGTAGTGCCAGAGAAAATTTTGATAATGATGGAAAAACCTATAATCATTGTTCTCCAAATCGGTTATGTATTCATTTGGGCTTTTATTAAGCTATCATCATATCTAAGGAATTATGAGAAAATTTCATGTACCATTTTCTATTATACTGAAATATCTACTATATAACATGAACACAAGCAAATCAATCTCAGAAAAGTTTTTCATAGGTGCTACGTTCCCAAATAAGTTTCATAGTGATATTAAAAATTTTAGTGCCATGCATGCAAATATTTAAATGTGGATGTTATGTAAACATTCTTTATGTATTTGCATATCTAACACTCAAAGTTTGCTTTTTTTTACATTTCTGACATCCAAATCTTTCGTTTCACTAAAAAATACTACTACCATAACTTCTAAAACTTGTCGAAAAAATCATAGCTTTAACACTGCCGTTGCCGGTCTCAAGCCCGGATGAGAAAAGTGGAGGGTTGCGTTAGGTAGTCGACAGCCAGCGTAAAACTTGTCGAAAAAATCATGACATGAATCCTTTTGATTGTTAAGAAAGACAGAGGTAGACCTAAAAATACTGAGCTTATTGTATAAAAAATGATCTTGCTTATCGTGTTCATAACAAATTGAAAGGGGAATGAAAATATGACACTAAATAGAG